ACAGAATGTAAGAACTACTTGGCCATTTTGGACATTGCTTTCTAAACATCTCTTTAAAAAGTATCCATTTTCATATGTTACAAAGCATATGTGCATGGGCAACAAAAGCCAATTTGCATGTAGAAATAAGATGTCATATAGTTTTAATTTAAATGTTAGCTATTTTGAAGAGGCAACACTGTAACTACACCTCTCTCTCCATCAGCAGAGAACCCCCTGTGCATGACAGAATGTAATGTAACTTTATGTAGTACTACTGTGGATGAAGCCTGGCAACTATTATGGAGATTTTCAAAGTTTAAAATAAATCATGCAAAAGTTACTGGCCAACTGCTTAGTTTGTAATCTTGGGGGGGGGCAATGTTTCCGAAGATGAGAGTCTCTGTTGATGAACTGGGTTCATCTCTGTAGAGAAGTGGGAACCCACTGACCTTACTGGAGGCATGTAGGCCAGTCTGTGTTCATATTCAGAGTTGTAGGTTGTAAATGTGCCTGAGATAAAGACATACTTAGTGACTTAGTGGGATTTCTTTTTAATAGTTGAGTACAGACATTTCAGCAGCGACATTATTAACAGCGTCATTTTTCTCATTTAGTTTTGTCCTCAAGGGAGACCAAACAGCTGGGGGGCGGTAAGGGTGGGGGGAAGTCCAAGGTTATTTATTCATTTCAGTGAAAGGCAAAGGGCTGGCAATGACGGTAGGGAAACTAACAGGTTGTGAGTTCTCTAGTGGGGAAAAATTGCTACCCTAATTTGACAGTAGGAGTTTAAGGGCTGAGAGTTGGGCATGATTTTGCAATTCCCATCAAGTGTAGGCAGTCCTGGTACTTGTCGGTTGTTTATATATGCATTTTTGAGTGGATTTTGGTGTAGCTACGTGTAGATGTAAATTTGTGTTTTCCAGGCTACACTTCTATGATTTTTGTGGCTCATTTGGAAGGATAATGATCCCTGGGCACAGTGAAGAAGATACTTGCAGTTCTGCAAGCTTGTTCCCTGGGGTCAGGAGGTCACCTGTCTCTTTTGTATTTAGTTTTAAAATATTGATATTGGCCATGCAGATAGGGTGTGTGAAATTGTTGAACCTCTCTGCAAATCACATGCAAGAGCTAAAAGCTAAAACAGTCATCGGGTGTATTGAAAATGACAGTTTTGTTAAGCTCCAAGAAACCTTATGTGAAACTGCACTGGCTTTGCAACCTGTCGCTGCAATTCCTTTAGAAAGAAAAAGGGTAAAAGAAAAAGAATGTTAGGAAGATACCTGAGATATCAGACTTCTCTCTGGGGCGTCAGTGGGAGGCTCAAACTGGGTAACAATGTTTATTCTTAATTTTCAGTTGGGTTTTGAAAAGTCCAGTCAGCTGAAGCTCTGGCTTTTTTTTTTTTTAAGAAATCAATAAACTTTCTATCAGAAAAGACCCCACCCTTCCCCTCCCCAATAAGTTAGTCTAAAGTAAAGAGGTGATCTAGGGAGATTATTAGCAATACTGACACATCAGATTTTCCTGTTGCTGAAGGAGCTATTGGCTTTTTTCCAGCTCTTCAGCCAGGTTTGGGGGTGAATGGGGTGCCCTGTCATACCAGTGCTCTAACCCTTTCAGTGTGAGAGAGGAAGAACAGAGAGTTTAGAAGTAAGTGGCAAAGTCTGAGTGTTTGGCCGACTTGGGCAGTATCAGAAACTTTTCAGAGACACTTTAAAACCATAATCTAGACATGCTGCAAAAAAGGGAAAGTGAATAAAATGCATGCACCTTCCCAGTTCCTCCTCTCTACTACTTGCAATGTAAAAGACTGGTATTTCTCCAAGCAAAGGTGGCTGACAAGGGCTGAGAGAAGCCAGACTAACCAGATGTCCCATGCACCCTAATCCACCAGTCCCTCAATTATAGAAGACTCTCCTAGAGTTCTTCCTGGGAAGGCCTGCAGTGACCATGGATAGCATTGGCTGGACAAGAAGTAGTGCTTTGAGGGATGTCAGCTATCCTGACTGTGGCTCTGAGGTCTGACAGTCAAGGCCGTATATACTGAGTCCCCCTTAAACCCTCCCTTCCAGGATGTCTCTTGCTCATTTTTCACTCCTTTTTGGTTTTCCTCACTTCACTACTACAGCAGTAATATGCTTTCTCATTTTCATCTTTTTGGAAACAAAAGTCCAAACTACCAAGCATCCTCCTGTGGCCATCAAAAATGTACCCAGCCATAAGTACTGTACAAACACAAACAAGGGACACCTGAAAGAGATTCGAGCCTCTAAGGCATGGGCCTGGGAGGCTCAGACTGTCTTCTCTTCTCTGGGGTCTTACCTGGGTCTGATGCTGCTTCTTTAGCCCTTGGTCTGCTGCAGCTTTTGTGACTTCTTCTGTGTAATAGTTGTCAATTTTTCGCTTTTCCCTTTTAAAAAAGCTTGTGTGAAACTTTTGGATGCAACCTAGTTTTAGTGGCAAAAGGAAATGGTTTCTGTTGGGAAGGGAGACTAAAAAGGAGAGGAGGAGTAGCGATGTCTGGAGACACTTGCCTTGGGCCCAGCTCTGGGCCTCTTTTGCCAGGGGACAAGGGCTGGTTCTGGGCTCTCTGGCTGAAAAGAGTGCTCTCTGGGTGCCAGGATTTCACTGGGGGTGGTGTGGTGAGGAGGGAGGAGAGAGGGAGGGAGGGAGGGAGGGAGGGAAGGAGAGAGATGGGCACTGGATTTTTAAAGAGACCCCGAAATAATGGCTCCTGTAAGAGTCTGGGCATTCAAAGAGGTGTGTTCAAGGACATGAGTGCATTCGTGCCAAGGGGAATGTCTTTTATGGTAAATTAACTCCAGTTAAATTGAGTATTTGTTCAAAGGGAAACTCCAGTAGTTAAAGCTGGTATTATCAGTACAGCTTCCCCGCCCCCTCCCCGCAGAATCTGGTGAGGGTGAGAAAGGGGATGCAGCATTTTGTATTCTGCAGTATAAACTGATGCTTTGCGTTGGCTCGTCGTTTTCTTTTTAAATTTAAGATGAGGTTGCCTAAAATTTACGAGAGAGAAACGAGTATTTGTTTGGATTAACCCGACTGTCACCTCACTTCTTTCATCTATAAAGACTGTCAACTTTATCCCAGCTTTTCAAAAAGAAGAAATGACCGGCACAAAGGAAATTAACGTTGTCAGAACGCTGACTAGAGGATTTCCCTGGGAGTAGGGGGGGCTGCCCCCTGCGGCGCATGCCCTAAAGGGTTAACTTTGCAGAGTTCTCACAGTTTCCCCACTTTACCTGTGCTCCCGGACCAACAACCCTCTTCCCCAGTCTCAGCTCCCCACCCCCAGCGCTTTTCTTTTTTGGGCTCTTGGTTTACGGGGGCTGCAGCTGGTAGACTTGGCAAGCTCGCCTCATTAAGACGCTTTTTGAAAACGGACTGTGTTTGAGCATTTCCCTAATGAGGACAGGACGGGGTTAAAAAGTGACCATTTCATGGTTGACTTGAACCTGCCTACTTTTCTTGATGTGTCGTTGTGAAATGCTTGATGTGGATAACTCCCACTTGGTGAAGGAAAAAGTCACTGGTTCCTTCAGGTCCGCTGGGGGAGAAAAAGGGGGGACGGTGGGTAGAAGCAGGAAAGGCTGAGAGAGAAGAAAGTTGGCAGAAATCGAGAGCGAGGGTAAGAGGGAAGGAGCAGAGGCGGCGAGCCTCGAAACACTGTGACAGCACCATTGAGAGCGGGGGCGACCCCGCCCAAGAGATGGGCAGTCCTGGCCCCTTCAGGGCCCCAGCTGCCCCCAGCTAGGTAGACGCCGAGCCCCAGGCACTCACTTTTCTTTTCTCCATTGTCTGGACAGCCTTTGATTCCTCCACTTCCCCACCCACCCCGTGCAGAAAGCCGGAATTTGGGGAGCAGTGTGTGTGTGGGGGGGGTTGTGTGTGTGTGTGTGTGTGTGTGTGTGTGTGTGTATGTAAGTATGTAAGGGTGCAAGGCGAGCCGCCTCCCTCAAAATCCCCAAAATCAAGTTCATTCACTCTGGGCTGCAGCTCCAGGCCCGGGAGGGGGCGGGGCAGCGTCGCGGGAGTGAGGCGGCGCCCAGAGGCTCCGGTCCCGCGACCTCTGGAGGGCTGTAGCGGCACACGCACCCCGCGCTCGCGCCCGGGCGCGCGCCCGTCCCGCAGCCAGGGCCCCGCCCTGCCTGCACCCCTGCGGGGAGAGAGCCGCTTTCCGCCGGCGCCCCGGGCACTGGGGGGTGGGGAGTGGGGTGGGGATTGGGACTCAGCCAGCCAAGCTGCAAGAGAGAGCGGGAGGAGGGAGCCGGAGGCGGCAGCGGCGCGGCCGGTCCTTCTGCTCCGAGCGAGGCCACGTGCCCCGGGCACCCCCAGGGAGGGCGGCAAACCGCGGCGAAGCGTCGCGCGCCGCTTCGGCATAGTTGGGGAGACCCAGAAGGACCCCGCACCCCTTCCTTACTCGCGATCGCGTGCTCAGGGCCGGGTAGACAGGGGCTGGGCGCCGTGGCCCCCCCATGTCCGCGTCGGTGCGCCCCAACTACTTGAGCCCAAGTTCTCTCAGGCCTCCGCCTTCTAGCCCCCCTCCTTTCCTGCAACTGCAGGCTAGGCGGACCGCGCCCGCCCGTGGTGCGAGTGTCGGCGCCCCAGCCCCAGCCCCGGGGCGGCCTTGGGTGTGAGGGAATTTTCCATTTGTTCCTTTCTCGAGCCTAGAGCTGCTCAGTGCTTCTTCAACTAGGATGTTCCCGCGGCTCAGAGTTCGCAGCGAGCACCGAAATACCACTTCCAGGGCGCAATTTCGGGGTGTGGGAAGGGTGGCAGAAAGAAAAGCTATTAAAAAAAAGTACTATTACACCGGTATGATACCTTTAACAAATAAGAGGGAGAGAGTGGGGGACTGAGGGTAAAAGAGAGAAGAGAGAGAGAGCGAGAGAGGAGAGAGGAGAGAGAGGCGCAGGAGGAGGAGGAAGGTGGGGGGCGGGGGTGTGGAGAGACTGGTGCAAAAGGAATGCGCGTTTGCAGGAGGAGGAGTAAAGCGATGATTGTGTAATTAAATAATAAAACAATCCTTAAGTCTGATTTGGAGAGAGCTCGAGCGGGGTCCAGAGGGTGGAACCGGTGAATTTTTCAACTTCCAAGTTTTGCAACGAAAGAAAGCGAGAGAGGGAGGGGAAAAAAGAGCCCAGAACAGAAAAGAGAGGAGTTTGGAGTCAAGCAGGAGAACGGGATTTATCGTTTGGGATTTTTTTTTTCAGGAGATCGTTTCGATCCCCCTGGGCTGCGGGCAGCAGCAGCAGCAGCAGCAGCAGCCTCCTCGCTCGGCCGGGTCAGACGCGGGGCGAGGCGGGAGGCGGGTAGGCAGGCGCGGAGGAGCCGGCGCGGGAGGCGGCGGCTGCAGCCGGGGACCGCGCGCCGCAAGCCTCTTCCGCCCGAGAGATCTGCGCTCGTACCCCCTCCCTCACCCCGGCCTCTCCCTTCTCCCCCACCCCACCCCGCCCCCACCCGGCCCTCGCGCGCGCGCGCGCGCGCGCGCCCCACCACCCGCGCGCACTCGCTCACGCTCCCCCTCGCGCACACACATGGTCGGCTCGCGGCAAAGTTTCGCCTGCGATCACCACTCCGGGATCCTGCCGCAGTGTTCTGGGCTGTAACCTTGAACTTTCCCAGCGCGGTGACACATTCTCCTTGCTCTGCAGGCCGCCCGCCCTCCTGCGTCCCCCTCCCCGCCTTTTTTTAAAAAAGCATTTCACCATCAACCATCACCCCAATCCAACCCACACCGAACCTTCGCGCACCCCCAAGCCCCCAACACCAACACCAACTGCAAAACAGAAAACAAATCCCCAAACCCAGGCGAAAGGCAGCCAACACCGGCGGCGGCGGCGGCGGCGGCGGCGGCGGCCTCGGCGAGCACGGCCAGCGCTCCCGGACTGCAAGAGGGTTAAAAGTGTAGATTGGATTTCACCCCGGGAAATCTAGCACGCCGAGTGAACTTGAATCTTTGGCTATTTAAGGAGGACTGGGTTTGTTGTGAAGTTGCGGTGATCCGGCGCACAGCCCCGTCCTGATTGATCGCATCGCGGGGCTCAGATGACTGTAAAATGAATAGATGAAAGTCTTGCTTCTCGAAGATTTTCTTGGGCATCTCCGGGAAAGTGCGTTTTAAGGCGAAGTCATGATGTATTCTCCCATCTGTCTCACTCAGGTACATGTCTCGGTCGCTTTCTCGAGCTTTCTTTATGGCCCCATACGCCTTTTGTTTTGTTTTGTTGCTCTCATCGTGGGGACAATTAGCGGCTTTAGTTAACCTCAGCACATCTTCGTCCCACGGAGAAGTGATCAGGAGTTGCGGCAAGCTTTGCGGGGCGGCGTGGGAGCCTGCGCAAGGCCCCTCGCCCACGGCCGCCGCGCGCGCCCGTCCCCGCGCCCTGGGCACCGTGAGAGCGGGCACCGGCCGGGGTATGCTGCCAGGGGTGCGCAGAACCAAGGCGCGCAAGTGAGAGCCCCTGAGTGGCCCCCCAAGTGGCGGCTGCGGCGCTGCACCCCGGGTCCCGGATCCCCGCCGCTCCTCGCGGCCACTCGCGCGCAGAGGCGGACTCGGGCTTTAGAGCAGCTTTAGGGGGGACCGAGCTCTTGAAACCGGCCGGTGAACTTGGGCTAGGGGACTCTGGCACAAGTCTGTGTGGGCGCCTCTAGACTCTGCTGTTGGCAGTGGGCGGGCGACTAAGCGAGTCCGGGGTTGGGGTCCGGGGACCCATTCCTTTGCTTTATTTGGGTACCTAAAGTCCTGGTCCGTCGTGGCCCGCACTTTGGGGTTTACAGTGACCGCACCACAGAGCGGTCTTTATCTTGCCAAGAGTTTAGTTGGCTGTGGACTTTAGGACAGTTGGTGATAGTTGGGCATAGTTCGTAAGGCATAAAGTAATGCTAGGAAAGTAGGGTCTTTTTTTTTTCCCTTTAGTTTTGGAAATTGCCCTTAGACCTTAGGAGTAATGTTGTGAAATTAAAAAGAAAAATGCACTGACTTAATACGCACACACACACATATACAATTCCTATCACTTTCAACCATACAGTCAAATGGAAAAGTGGAGAGGCCGAACAGACTTACCTGGGCGCAGTTTTCCTCGCTGCCCAATGAACTGGTGAACTAACTAAACAGCTTTGTGCAGAATTGTTACTTGAAGGAATACTTTAAATCTTTAAAGTTATGAGACAGTTGACTTCAGCTATTAGAGTTTGTGACATGATTAATAATTGGTAACTATTTTCTTTAACGTCATACAAACTGAAGAGCTAAAGAAGCGTTGGCTAGTTTTGACTGTTCAAAAATCTAGTATCACAGTGATGCATTTTTATAATGGACAAATAATTAAGATTTCAATTGTATGACAATTAGAAACCATTGTGATTCAAAAGGACTGAGGCACTCATAAATTGTGAATGAAGATGAAAACAATGATAAGGCTTATTCAGTGATTGGATACAGTCCTGTAGCTTTTTGGCTGACACATTTTTTATTGTTTATATTTTGTTTGGCATCTGAGTATGATTAATTTAGATATGGCTATTTTAAGCAAGTAAACGTGCACTTTAATTTAACAAAACTGGAAAAATGGGTTGCAGAGTTTTTTGTATTTTAAAAGCTATGACTGATAGTAGACAATGATTACGATGAAACTGTTTCAGGTATAACGAATTGCCTGTAGTTGGAAAAGTTACCTTTAATATTACCTGTCAGCAGAATTTTTTCCTCTTTCTAGTAAACCACGTCCATTTATATTATTTTTACATGGGATCCAATAAAACAGATGAAAGTAAGCTTTTCACTTTCAAAGTACTGCATCACCTGTAAAGGACTAAATAATTGTGTGCTTTTTCATATCTTTATTTCCAGTATTGGCTTTTTTGGAAATGCTACTAGCCATTGCATTAAATTAAAAAGTACCTTGCTTTATCTTAATTTGTGTGTGCTAAAAATAATATTGCAGCAGTCCGACATATGGAATATTCGGAGCACGTATAGCATAATCATTCAACTATCGCATCAGTATTCAAGGATACATATGTACCAACATTACTTCACAATGACTAAATATTCTTTGGTACTTTAATAATACAAACCTGGGTTGATGTATTAAAACTGTTTTTGGAATTTAAGGCCTATGCCAGAGAAGGAATTTTAGCTTTCAAATTCTCACTTAACTAATAATCTCTGTGTGACTTTATAGGTAGTGCTAGGTATTTCAAAAGGGAGGGCACATTCACAGTGCTACTTTTGTATCAGATCCATAGTTTAGTTTTGTGTTACAAGAGCATAATAGATATAGCAGAAAATGTTTTAGGACATGCAATTGCAAAGTAAAGTGACACCCTAATTTGTTGGAAACTTTAAAAAAGTATCTCAGTTCTTGCATTAAGCCATCTTGGTTTTAGAAAGAATTTTAACTTAAAAGGAGCTACTATTAAAGTTGATATATAGCAAAATGGTATGCTGCAGTATCAATATAAATCAGCATTTATTAATCAGTATAAGCCAAATGAAAAAGGAATATTGAGTCATCGTAGGATTTAATATTTGCCTTTTCTAAATATAATATAAGCCTTTAATATTAGAACCTTCAATTGACATGCTAACATTTAATTTTTTTCTTTTATTGTCATTCTGTTCTTTAGGTAATTTTTTTCATGGTTTATTGTTGCATACAGATGATGCTCCGAGAACACCTAGTGTTTAGTGTTCCACCTCTATAGTGCTCTAATTTTCCATTCCTTTCCTGGAAGCCATTGTTTCCATGAAGAAAAAATAAATATGCCAAGTCAAATTAGACTGTTTACTTTTATATTTGAAATTTGTAACTTGCCTGTTTATTTTATCACTTTAGTTCAACTAAAGAAGTTGTATAAGAGAAAGATCACTAAATGTGAACATATTTTAATAAAAATTGTCAAAGAGTGTGCTTGCATATTACCTTAGTGTAGAGCCTTTAAGTCACTTACATGGTTCAATTTAAAAAATATTTTTAGTAATTATTTAGTGTTTCTGTGCTAATAATCCATTAGTTAGGATGTTCGTATAACTTAATCATTTTTTTTCTGGATGAGGACAGTTACTGTGCTGTACGTTCACATTACTCATAATCGTTAAGAATATATTGCTAGTCAGCATTAGAAACAGTGGCACATGGAAGATGACATTTAGACATGTTAATGCAAAAATATATGTGACATATTGCAAATCTCCACTTAATACCATTTTGGGGGAATATGTCTCTTTATCAAGTAAGTGTTTCATTTAAAAGGAATCCACATGATCGTAAGGCCCTAGAGATATTAACAAGGCAAACTAGTGGCCTGAGAAAGTTTGCTACTTCTGTTTATCAGTAAAGAAAAAAAAATGTGTGTTTTTTAAAACAATATTTGGCATCACTGACAGTAAACTCAAGGCAACAGTGCTTTGTGTGCATTGGCTAAGAGCTTCTAAATTCAACCTTCAAATTTGCATTCTGGTTGTTTAACATAATTTGTTAAATTTTTGAAATTTGTTACATGATAGATGATGTTTGGTCAAATATTGAAACTCAAAACACATTTAATCAAAACTATGTTTTTAGAAGAAAATGAAATGTCACTGAACATAGTACTTAAGAACGTAAGTACTTAAGTGTTATCAAATTGCTTAATATCTATCCATTAAAATAATACTGCTTTTTAAAAAGCATGGCAAAACTAAAATGAGTGAGACAGAGCTTCCTCATACACTCCCTACATTCTTAAGTTTTTAGTTTATGAGTGCATATATGCATTTTTTTAGTCATACCAATAAATCATAGTAAAAAGTCATATCATAGGAAGTGAGTTCCAAAGCATGTTTAAGTTCACATTTCCTTGAGCAGGCTTTCCTTTTGCATATATTTCGAAGGGGGGATAAACAAAGTTTTTATAGTTACAGTGAAAGCTAAAAGCATGGCATCAGAAAGTGTATGGAGATAGGAGGTCTTATCATGGGCTGTGGTTGCTGTGAGCAGGGCTGCCTTCCCACACAAAGAACAGATTGTGGTTTAACTCTTTCCATGGCCTAGTTTAGTGTGCTCACATAGTAACTGAATTGTTCAAATCTCTGCTGGAAACTACTGATCGGTTTAATGATTTCCTCTATGGCATTTGGTTATGCCTCATGCTGTGATGTAATCAGCTGCATTCTGTATTGTTATAAAATTTTGATTCATACTTCTGCTGTAGGAACATTTTACGGCAATATGTTAGAATACTTGACTACATTGTTGATTGGATAGAACATATACCTATTTTTGTGTCTGAACTGCAAACTACAAACATGTTGCAGTCTTTAGCATTGGAACTTTGGTTTCATCTGAAAAGTGCATTCATAGCTTCATGGAATTTTGGGAGCACCTTCTTTGTTAGAGTGTCATTAGTTTACTTTCCCCATCTTTACGTAATGGAACAATTATTCTGCTGGTTTAGTAGAATTTGCTCCACACAGTTAAGGGTAACTCACATGAATGTATACATTCTAACTTGGGATGAAATCAGAGAAAGTTATTTTGTGGCTGGGATGACAATATAGTCAATGTGAGCAGAAAAAAATGGCCTCATTGGAAGTTCTCATTCGCTTTAGATCTTGGCTTATTGCATCCATACTTATTGCTTGCACGGGATATTATGCTCTTTCTGAACAGCTATAGGCCTAAGCTTATAAAACAGGTTTTACTTAAGTAAGGAAGTAATGAAACCACCTGCATATGGAAGTAACTTGAAATATCTGTAAGTGAAGATGATCTGCCAGTCCTCACTGCCCCCTGCCTTAGAAAAGCTTAGCTGAAACAGGCAGGGCCTAAAGGTAAACCAGTTAATTCAAAAGCCGGGTACTATATAATCTGCACACTTTAAGATTCACAAGCTCATGCACATGTGAACCCGTAGCCCTGTCCATCCGATAATCTACCTACGTGGCACAGGAATTGTATGGATTCCACAAAAGCAGTCACTGACCAGCAGAGCACTCCTGGTGTCACTCTGCCACAGCATGAAGAGACACAAAGAATGCAAAGTTGGTGCCAAGTTGCCATTTTTCATTGTTCACCTCAGATTGATTTTTAAGGGGTTTAGAATTAATCACCATCCTCATGTGATCAGTTAACAAATTAACTGACTCTGTGGGGCTTCATATTGTATAGGAAAGCTGCCACAAGAACAGTTATGTAATTTTGTTTTCAACTTTAAAAACTTCTATTTAAAAATGCAAGAGAGTGTGTTTATGAGAGAGCATGAGTGTGTGAGTGTGTGTGTGTGAGTGTGTGTGTGTGTTGCAAGCTGGTGTTGGGGGTGCAGGGAGAGAATGCAGCTTAAAGTATGGAAACCTTTTCAGGACACTGATACGACAAGCTGCGTCCTGTGCCCACTTTCCCTCACTGTATACCGGTTTCTCTAGTTACCACTCTTGGAATGGTGCTGTTTCAGTGTTGGAATGTTGGACGTTTGATAAGAAAATGGATCAAGTTTAATGGCGCATGCTCTTTGTGCCACCAGCAGCCTCTTGCTGAGAGCATGCTCCAAAAGCGGGAAGTGTGTGACATTACACTGAGCATCTCTGTGCTTTGTGTTTCTGTGCCACAGAGAAGAGAAATGAACTGTGCCATCGTTTCTGTCTTCTGAGAAGCTCTGCTCCGATTAAAAAAAAAATCTCACTGTGTCCTTTGTGAAATGGTACTGCACAGTGTTGGTTGGTCATTCAAATATTTAAATATTAAATTGGGTGCCAAGCACCTTGGTTGCATATGTTTTTAAAGAATGTAGAATGCCTGGCCTGGGGGTGGGAATGAGGGGGATGGGGCCAGAGTGAAAATACAAAATAAAACCTTATTTTCTTTGTAGGAAGGAGAATCAACTTGTGAGTTTTGGTGGAGAGGGGGAGGCCGGGCATACTTTATTTTCTTCTTGTCCTGCTATTTTGATCGTTTTAAATAAGAGAAAAATGTTATTTTCATGCATAACTTTTTTTGTACTGAATTGGGACTAGATTATGGTCTTATTCTTTGAGCATCTGAAATTAAACTGACTGTCTGTACCTCTTCCCCCACTCATCTTCCACAGGATGAATTTCACCCATTCATCGAGGCACTTCTTCCTCATGTCCGTGCAATTGCCTATACTTGGTTCAACCTGCAGGCTCGAAAACGCAAGTACTTTAAAAAGCATGAGAAGCGAATGTCAAAGGATGAAGAAAGAGCAGTCAAAGATGAGCTTCTCAGTGAAAAGCCTGAAATCAAACAGAAGTGGGCATCCAGGCTCCTGGCCAAACTGCGCAAAGATATCCGCCAGGAGTACCGAGAGGACTTTGTGCTCACCGTGACTGGCAAGAAGCACCCGTGCTGTGTCTTATCCAATCCTGACCAGAAGGGTAAGATTAGGAGAATCGACTGCCTGCGACAGGCAGACAAAGTCTGGCGTCTGGATCTAGTCATGGTGATCCTGTTCAAAGGCATCCCTTTGGAAAGTACCGATGGAGAGCGTCTCATGAAATCCCCACACTGCACAAACCCAGCACTATGTGTCCAGCCACATCATATCACAGTATCAGTTAAGGAACTTGATTTGTTTTTGGCATACTACGTGCAGGAGCAAGGTAGGAGCAGATTGTTCTTTCTTCTAGCACCGAAAACACTGTCCACAAACGGCCGTAGATGGAATGTCTGGCTTGGGTTAGATGGTCCTTAAGGCTCCTTGATACCCTCTGCTCTCTCTGGGTACAGTGGTGTGCCCGGTTACACTCAGACATCCACTGCCATGTGCGAGCCCTGTAAATAGACATGGAGCACTCACACCTGGGTAGGCTTGGATATTTAAAGAAAGACCAAAAAGGCATGTGTTTTTTTTTTTTTTTTAAATATATGAGGAGACATAATACCCTAAAACATATAGTTTATTACACTTCATTTTCTATGCTAGGCTACATTTCTCATACCTAGTTGTCTTTTTCTGATTTGAAAATGTAACTTTATTTATGAATAGTCAAACCGCTCTTTAAAGTCTTTGCATTAGTCTCTTAACTAATGAGGGAGATGAACTTGTTTCAGGAATCTAGTGCTGTAGCAGTGAAAACAGGATTATCATTTACTATTACAAAATGCTGAAGATAGTGACTACCAAAATGTATATCTTACGTAGACCTATATTTATTTAATTTTAATATTTCTGTCAACACCTACTTTGGATTGTGCAATATTCACTGTATATTTAATGGAATATAGTTCTTGTTTAAATAATTTGTAATATTTTCCCAGAGTGACTTGGGAACACTGTATATTGTTACTTCACTTGGAAAGTGATTTCATGAAACTTACCAAGGAGGAAAGTTGCAGCTTTCCTTACAGAACATTACAGAACAAAAACAGAAAGTGGACTGGTTACACTGGTTTAAAATAAATCTCAAAAAGAATGCAAAAACTTCATACCATACTGATGTTTTAAAGTACTCTCTAAAGAGAGTGGTATAATTGCTGCCTGCCCAATTCAAAATAGGCAATGTTGCTGAGTATTTTTTGAATTCATGAAATATGTTTCCTTATTATTTTTTTCTTAAAATATTTTCCTTAAGTAGGTAACAATTTATTTTCTTCAAGTCAGTGTGTCAAGATATAGATGTCTTTGCATTAGCAACAGTTCATAGTAAAACATCACTTAAAAAAACAGCATACCAAAGTGGCTTGAAGTTTGAGCTGCCACAGATGGTGGGTCATATCTGAACTTGGTCTGGCAGCAGGGAAAATGGCCTGCAGATAGCCAGGTGGCAGACAGTTATCTGATGTTCATTACATGAATGTAGGATTTAGCAAATTGCTATGTACTTTATTATCATCCAAAAAGGTAAAATATAAAAATTACTCTTTTGATTCAGAAATCTAGGTATTTCCTATGTACTTTTTGTCATGATATTTCCTTGGTACAGATTTAGAGGTACACTTAAATATCATTTAAAAAGCTTTAATCTGATTTTAAATGATGGTTCTAGACATCACTCATTTGGAAATACTGTATTTTCTTAAAAAAATTGCATTTACTATTTCTGTGCATTTAAGAAGTCAAGTTAAAATAATGATGGTTGGGGGAAAATATAATTTCATCCTCTGTGTCCTAAAGTAATAGCTCATGAGCACATGACACTTAATTTGATTGACAGCTGTCTAGGAGGTGACATGTTAAGGTGGGCTATGTATATATATATATATGTGTGTGTGTGTGTGTGTATGTGGGTGTGTGTGTTGGATTGACTATAAATGTGTTGTAACTGTGTTGCAAAAGTGAGGCTAGAAGGAAAGTTTTAGAAAGTGGGTCGTGCAACTTTTTAATATAGAGAGGGAAGATTCGCAACTGCCTCTCTGCTGGCTCACATTTTTAACTTGTTGGGAGGCTAGCCCTTGAGGTGTGCATGCATGCATATCTACTTCCAGGGCAGGCAGTTTTGATGAACTGACAATAAAGAACGTATCCTTTGGATTTGTGAAGACAGATTAAAAGAGAAAAAAGCATAAATACTGTCTGCATTGTACCATTGGTAATGATAACCATAAAGTTTTGAGAAACTCTTGGAGCCCACACTTTCAGATAAAACAGTGATTTTGTTGTGATCTCAGCAATTTCTATGGTAAGAACTTTTTTTTATCATTTTATGCTGGTGCAGCTAATAATTTGTGTTTTCTACTACCTGCCTCTGCATCATTTCCTCTTAACATCTGGTGGCTCTTTCTTTGAAAAAGTCACATCAGAGTGCTTTTGTGTTTTCTCTTTTTCAAAATTTATAGCTTTTTATTTGTCAAGTGTAGGTTAATTATGTCATTTTGTAGTGCAATTGATTAAAGAAGGCAGGTTTTTAAAGATAAGTCTGTAGTCAATCAGAGAGTTACATATCTCCCATATGACTTTTTATTTCTCTTCTTAAGTACATGAAAACCTACTTAAGTCTGTTTTATAAATTAAGTAAAGAAGTATAATGGAAAATATGAAAGGAAAAATTATAATGGAAAAATGCAACAGAATGAACAACAAAATTACCTTTCCCCCCTTTTCTCTCTCTCTCTCTCTCTACTTCTAAAAAACTGGGGGAAAAACATGAGAAAGAACAGAGAGAATGCCAAAGATGGTTGCCAGTGGCACCAGGATTGGCATCAGACCCTCTTTGTTTAGCTCAGGATGCCTGTGATTTGTTAGTTGGCATCCGCATTGCAGTGTGGAGTGATGTTACAATGTATTGACAATTTCCAGATCTAGAAATGTCAGTAGTCCTCTTGGTTACTCATATAAGACCACATACTGTATCTCGTTTGGCGGATGAAATAAAGACCAACATATAATAAGTTCCATTGTTGACCAACTTCCTAGGCTTTCCTTTCTCCCTCTTTCTCTTTTGGTTCAACCCACACTTTTTTCCTTCCTTTTTCATGCCCAGCGACCTCATCTTTTCTGAAATGTGGAAAGAGTTACTAGAGCTTTGACACAAATTGTAGTGCTACATCTGTATGTGATATGGTTTTGGGAAAAAATTGATCCATTTTGAAATCATTTTTGATAGATAGTTTATTAGGCTTTTGCATCACAGGGCAGTATTTTCTTTAAAGCTCAATGTCTTTGTTATTCAGCTTCTTCTATGCATATAGTCTGGTTGACCGCAATTCAGTCCATTTGATTATTTTTTTATGCTGCAGAGGGTCATGTTCAATATAGTTGTTTATAAAATTATATGCCCCTACTTTACCCAAAATGTACACATCATTTGGGAGTAACTGTGTTTAAATCCATAAAATCATTTGACGTTATTGATTCAGAGGGCTGCGCTTCGGCTGTTTCGTTGCTACAAGAACCGCCATTTTGTTTGTGAAGTGCCAGGCGAGGGGGAAAAAAAAGGCAGACACTGTGTTTGATGCCAATAATGGTTGCCAGTGGCACCGAGGTTGGCATCAGACCCTCTTTGTCTAGTTGCTGAATGCCTTTGATTCGTTGGTTGGCATCCGCATTGCAGTGGGCACACTGGAAAGTTTTTGACAATCCCTGAATGAAAGCTGCTTGCTTGTTTGCTGCAGCAAACCTTAGCTAATAGAAAACCCTTCCTTTTTTTTAGTTTCCTTTTTTTAAAAGGATTGTGGCAGAAAAAATAGCTCTAAAGTGGTCTCCATTTTCCCAAAGATATTAAAGATGTCCAATGATTCTTGGGCAGGTGGTACCTATTCACCATATTGTCTTTGTTATTGCATTCAGGAAAGCAAAGCAAAACAAAACCAAACAAAAACCAGGCAAGCCTTGCACAACACACCTTCCTGGGACTCAGACATCCTAGAGGATGAAGAGTATACTATGACAAGTGTGCGGAGGACTTGCCCAGTGTAGTGATATATAATGCATCCATTTCAACTGACTGTTGACTTTCAGTCACATCACTGCTTATTTCTTATGCAGTTTCTAGTTCTCTCAGTTTGCACATTTCTGAATTTTCTGGCAACATGTCGAGAGGACTTTACTTTTCCTCTCCAGTTAGTAATGTGTAACAGTGTAAATGTGGGGAAAAAAAGGAAACCTACATGTTAAGGTCTGATGTAAATCAAGTCATTCCTGAATTTCTCAATTCTGCATAAAAATGTTGCCAGATTCTTAGTGTACAATTCTGATACTGGGAAAAACAACCGAAAGGCTCAAATAATTTTGGTTGAAGTTTCCTAGATAGTTAGCGTTAATATTGCTTCGGTTAACCACCATTATCTCGTTAATTAATAAGAAGGATTAGCAGTTCTACCCAAAGGGCTGCACAGAAGGAAGTCTGGCCTAGGGGAGGCCTTGAGTCGCCAGACTGTGTCCTGTCTGTAGAGAGGAGAGGTGGGGCGGTTGTGGTGGGGGGACTGGGCTTTCTCTGAGGCAGGGAAGTGTTTGCAGAAAGAGAGAGATCACAACACACGAAAAAAGCTTAAAGATCTCAAGAAACAGTAACTGTTGTCATGAATCTAACAGATTAGAGTTTAAACGAAATCAGTCTAAGTGATTTTTAGACTGTACTTTGCACTCTTTTTAAACAAGTTTTGGAGTGTGACAAGAGTTCAGCAGCTTCATTGCTGTCGTGAACAAGTAGTTTCCTTTAGCCTTGTTGAACCCTTAAAATTGTGACCCTTTGTTGTATGGCAACTTTTGTTGTTTTACTGTTAAATGTTATAATAATTGAAGGATATTTTGAAGTTGTGAAAAATGTGACCTGTTTACAGGGGAAGTTGTAATCATTATTGTTTTTGAAATAGAACCCTTCCTGGTTGTCACATGTCATTAGTGAGGAAGCAAATGCTAGGAATGAGTTTCCTCCTTCAGTTACTAGGTTTCAGAATCCTTTTGGGTAACAATTATTTCTTTATGAAACGCTTAAGTAGATAATTGTTTGCAAGTTTTACAGCACATTTTAACATTTTAATAAATTTCACTTCATTTGCAGGTATTTCCCATTATGGAGGAAAATGAGCTCTTGTAACTTGTTTGAATGAGGCTGCTCTGCAGGAAGCTTTGGTGTGCTTGCATGTGAGATGCTGGGAGAGCATGTAGTTTGTGTGTAGGAAAAGTACTTTGTGTGTTTGATTTAGGGAACCCTGTGAAGCT